CAAGGCGTGCCTGGCTACAGGTGTAGCCTCCATAATCCACAGACCTATCCTCCCCACTGCTGAACCAATGCAACAGCAAAAGACCTTCCTGGGGGAAGACTGGTAAACAGACTTCACCCACATGCCTCCATGTCTCAGTGCAAGGGGTATGCACATGACACTGGGTAAGACTGGGTAGACAGAGGCCTTCCCTACCAAGTCAGAAGGAGCCTTAGAGGGGGTAGAAATCCTTCTCAAGCAGTAATCCCTTGGTTTGGACTATCTCAGTCCATCCAGAACAACAATGGGCCCTCTTTCACATCTTAAGCTAAACACAGAGCCTCCAAGGCTCTGGAAATTAAATACTATTTTCATGCTGCCTGGATTCCACAGTCCTCAGGCAAGACCAAGCAAGCCAACCAAACTCTTGGGCAGCCCTTAGCCAATCTGGACCAGCAAACCCACCATATGGGGCTAGACCTCCTTCCAACTGCCTTAATGAGGCTGGCCCACCCCCAAATCCAAACTTAATCTTAGCCCATTTGAGATGCTTTATGGGAGAGCCTTTCTGACATCTGATCTGCTTACTAATGCCAAGACTTCCCAACTCCTTCAACTTGTCACCCATCTAAGGACTTTCCAGTACTGCCCCTCCCCCCTATGGAAACAAGATTCTCCCACACCCAGGGACTACCAATTGAAGTCTGCCCCAAGGATAAGGTTCTAATAAAGAACTAGAAGAAGGTTTCGCTCCAGAACAACTCACTCCTCCCAAGTGGAAAGGCCCTAACACATCTCTCTTAACCACAGCCTTTGCCATAAGACTCAGGGGCTTAACTGTTAGGTTCATCTCTCCCGGGTAGGACTCAAACTGCCCAAGGCACTGAAAAACAAAGAGAAACCACAAACTTCCTACATCTGTGAACAAGTGGCTGGCCTGAAGCTTCTTTTCAGAAAAGAAAAATACCCACCAACCTAAGTCAGATAAGTAGTTGGTTTGTTCCCCTAGATAGAAAAAGAAACTTAGCCCCAAGTTGGGAATATAGTTTCTTCTTGCATGTTCTATGTGGCTAGTTCTGCTACTCTCTTACTTGGACAACCCACTCTTGAGATCCTAAGTTCAAGTTACAACATGACTCCTCTATTCTTTTTTGTCCGAGATCTTTTTTGGTATCACTGCTCAAGAACTGCCTCTAAAGCAGTGATTACCTACATAAAACCTTAAAGCTAATCCATCTCTTACTAAATTCTACTGATTGCAACCTAGCCATGGACTATTGGCTGTCTTTCCCCCTTCTAGCCAATACACTGCTGTATCTATCCCAGCTGGACTCTGGGCTACCAAAAGATGACCTTCCACTCCAACGAACAAGGGTGCAGTCTCCTTAAGTTAATGTCTTTAGATGGCCTCTATGACTTTCAGGTCAGAAAATGACTAAGATAACCTCAAAGGGGAGGACTAGTGTCTTCCTCAGATCCTACCAGAGTAATCCTACCCAAGTTTCTTCCACAAAACCACCCATGAGGGCCCAACATCTGTTCACACATTGCTTAAATTCCAGGCACACCTTTGTAAAATGAAGACTTGAGACAGAGGCCAGGGCCAGGATCTGGGCACTTTAAAAAGACATCCTTTGCAAACAAATCCTAACAACAAAACCTTCTCAAGACCATGCCAGTCTCCAGATAACCCAAGCCATGTCCCTTAGCTAAATCTTGGAAGTAGCTTGTATGTCCACTGACAGATGAATGTGTAATGTGGTTTCATGCACAATGGAGTTCTACTCTGCCATAAAGAAGGAGAAACAAGTCATTTGCAGGAAAATGGATGCACCTTGAGACAATAATATTAAGTGAAATAAACCAGATACACAAGCTTAAATATTGTACCCGAAATATAACCCAAAATATAATCAAAGAGAAAAACAGTAGATAGATAATAGGGAAGCAGGAAGATAAGTCTTTTGCAAATGGGAAGCAGATCAAGAGACAGAGGAAGGGGGAGGGAGAGGTGAGAAAAAGAAGGGGGATAAAAGGGACGAAAGGAGAATGAAGGTGCATTATGTAAATGCACCAACACCCACAAGGAGTGTAGTCGCCATGTACTGCAAACACGTGCTCAAAACTAAAAACAAAACCCTGGCGCGACTCTCACAGAACCAGTCTCTGGACAACAGGGTTAGGAAACGGAAGGCCAGATCACTGCCACAGGTGACCCTCAATGGTGCTTCTCCATTCCCACGGAGGACTGCTTTTAGCTCAAGATGAGCAGCTGTCTGCTGGTGTCTGATTATGAAAACTCAACTGAATGGGAGTTCACAGCTAACACAAGAAACTGTACACACTTGGAAACCAGAGCTACTCCAAACACTTCTTATGGGATCCTTCCAGCCTCTGACGGGAGCTACGCTGGCAAGGTCTTCTTACCTGTCTAGGGAAATCAAAACAATAACCTCAACCCAAAGATTTATTATTGAAAGTAACTTCTATCTTGAGACTCAGGGACTTCTGTTCCTGTGTGGCACTAATTGCTACTTGAGTCTTCCAGCAAACTGGCCAGGAATGTGCACCCTTGTTGATCTAGCCCTGGACATCAACATAGCTAATAACCTACCCCTGTCAATCCCTTTGGCCACCAGGATGAGAACAAAGCAAGCCACAGAACCATTTCTTCCCTGATGGGTCCAGAAATAGCTACTGGAATAGGCACTGGAACAAAGGACTACTCACACTTTTCTCTTACTACTGCAAGTTGTAAGATCTGGCAGATGGCCTCTAAGAAATTACTTCAAACACTGTCATCCACCAGAACCAAACAGATGCACTCACTCGGTGGCTCTACAAAACCCCTGACCACTGAAAAAGGGTTCCTAGAAGAAAAATACTGTTTCTGTGTCAGGCTGGAGTAATGGGAGATGCGGCACAAAAACTAGCTGACTATTCTAAAACCTGGCAGGGGTTATTATCTGAGCCATGGAGATCCTGGTCAAAGATCCAGAATTGGGCCTCCTGGTTATCTTCCATGGCAGGGCCTTTACTAATGCTTCTCACAGCTTTACTATTTGGATCATGCATACTTCATCTCTTGGTCAAATCTGTTTCTTCTCATTTAACAGAGGTAAAACTATGATGAGCCCAGCCAACGACCAAAACCAGCTTTCATATCTAGAGCTCATCAATGACGCTTGCAGATGGAACAACGCTCCCTCAGCCCCTTAGAGCAGGCAGGGCAATGGCTCTATGGTCAGCCTATGGCAAAGATACCTCGGGCTTAAATGATAAAAAAAATAAAAATAAAAAACAAGGCAGTCCAACAGGAATCACTAAAATTTTACCCTTTCATAAATATTTTGTAGTCTGGGCCCTAGAGAGAGTGTGTATCAGAAACACAACAAGAGGCACCCAACTACCCCCCATGAACTATCTGCACACAAGGTGTCTGGTTTGGTTTAAAAACCTTATTAACTGTGTCGTCCCGGGACACACTCACTGCAGGTTTCTGCACAGGCACAGCGAAACCCTGCAGACCTGAGTCCACCTGCACATGCACACTGCCGCCGGGGGAAACGGCACACGGCTTGGAACTAGGGCTGCCAGAAAGCACGTGCAGCTGCCCAAAGCAAGTTCCACTCAGAGGACTCCAACTTTCTTTCCAGTCAGGAATGTCCTTCCATGGAGCACTCAGAATCTAATGTAGGCTTTTATGAAAGGCATGAAGGTCATCAGAATTAGTCAATCTAATATCCTTCTGCACCTTCTCCACAATTCAAGGAGTAAGCAACATTGCGTTACTGCTACGGTTTGGAGAGATGATGTCCTCCAAACGTCAGTGTGCTCAAGGCTTGGTCCCCCAGGTGGCGCTATCAGGTGGTGGCATGGATCTCTAGGAGCTGGGGCCTTGTCAAAGGACACTGTGAGAGCCCTTGTCTCTGCCTCAGGAAATGAGCAGTTTTCCCCAGGCACACTCCCTTCCATTTTTATCCAGCATCTCCACCAGCAGCCTGAAACAATGTGGTTGCCTCATCTGGGATAGAACTCTAGAACACAGAAATCTTTTCCATGTTAACTGCCTCAGGTATTTCATGGCAGTAACACGAACCTAATACAATTTTTAAAAATATTAGATGTTTCAAATTAATTAATCTAATATTACAAATATTAGACGTTTCAAAGGCAACTTAGCTTTTCTAGCAGATACAGCAGTATGCACATTAGAATAGTCATGGCAGGTGTGGAGGCACATGCTTGTAATCTCAGCCACTTGGGAGGCTGAGAGGAGAAGCTCAGTCAGGAAGATGCCAAGTGTGAGGCCAGTCTGGACAAGGTAGTGAGATCCTGTCTCAAAATTTAAAGGAGTGAGGATACAGCTCAGGGATATAGTGCCACTGGGTTCAATTCTCAGGACTACAAAAAAAATTGTTTTAATGTTCGAAAAGAAACCCAAAAGGCACAGAGACAGAAAAAAGGGCAAGGGAGAAGAGAAAGCACAGGCCTCCATTAGAGGCTAAAGGAACTGAGTGAAGTGCAACACCAATCGTCTCTGCGTGTAGTCTTCCCAGCCTAGTTTACTGTGTTTTCAAAACTGTATTTGCCACATGAGGACATCTGTGTTCTTTTAACCAAGAGATCCTATTAAAGAAGAACCAAGGCCAGGGAACATGAGATGGTAGCAGCTATTAAATAAACACTGCATGGGCTGATTAATTTTTGCAAATACTGTAGTCTATAAAAGCTGAGAACAAATAATTAGAAAAAGGTGTCCATGTCCTCCTCCCAAGAATATGATATTCACAATCCTCTAAATTTATGTACCAAAAATTAAACCTCTAAGCCACAACATTAGGCAGTTGATCTTAATACTCTGCATTTGGCAAGTCGTATTTCAGCATTTATGCTTTTGCTAAAACTCTGAGTGAGCCAAAGAGCTCTGCATCCACAAGTAAAACTAAAGGTCATGGGTGAGGAAAAAGAAAAAACCCATCCAGGGGCAAAGAGAGGCGTTAAGGAGGAGAAAAGATTACCACTATGTTTCCTGGAAACTTCTGGCAAGTCTGACTGTTGGAACTGATCTGAGTTTCTTGCCAAAGGATTTTCAGGTAGTTTCTTAGAAGTCTTCAGTGGGCAGAACTCTGGTTGCTTGAGCTCAGCTATGTTTTGTGAAATTTTAATGTCAGTTTCCTTAGGAAACATACATGTCTGTACTCCATCCTTCAGACTGCATTCTGAAGTGCTATTGACAGCAACTGTGTTTTTCAGTGTGTTTTCGTCTTTATTCAGTAAGTTTTTGGGGAGAGTTAAGTTCTTCTGCAGATTGACATTCATGCCACTTGCGTATTTGAGGCTGACCCAGCTCTCGCCCACAACATCGGTGCCAACGTCTTCTTTCGCAGCAGACAGGGGGCTGCCCGAGGTCAGCGTCTGCTTCTCCTCAGGGGCAGTGCTGGTACTGCTGGCTGCAGACACGCTGGCTTTGTGTTTACCGTAGTAGACCGAGCACTTATGCTTCTTCTGAGAATGGCCGTGGGTGGCTGGGCTCCTCTTGGCAGCGTTCTGCGTCCTGCTCTGAGGCGTGCTCACCGGAAGGCAGCTTTTGCTCCTGCCCTTATCAGAGGGGCCGTATGTGTCAAGAAAGTTCTTGCAATTACTTCTGGATTTAAGAAGAAAATAATTTTACATGAAGACAAACCACATCCAACTCTACTTCTATTTCTACATCCCCAAGAAACAGGCAGCAGTGGACAGTGTATCTATTAAGGAGTTCTACCTTCCCTTCTTCTAAAGCCCTAGGGGGTTTCTGGCACTGAGTATGCAGGTGAACTAAGCCCGTAAATGAAAACTATGTCCTAAGAAAAGCTACAGTGCAGCTGTGTTCGCACAGTGACATAAATTTGATAAAAACAAACTTGGAATCAAATGTGATTACTTTAAATAAAACCTGAGGTAAGTGGTATCAGAAGAAAGCCCCCCCACAAACACACACACACTGATTCTTACTTGTGAGAATGGGAGCTGATGACGTCCACCGGACCATTGTGCTGTGAGGAAGAGCTAGCATTTTGCCTCTGCCTTGCTTTCATGAATTCTATAAGAATGTACTGTGCTTGCTGGAAAGCTATCAAAATCACACCTAACAGGGACAAACTGGGGGGGAAAACAACAGTATTCATTATTGCATGGCTCTGACTGGCACGTGAAAGACTAGTTTCAAATCCAGCATGGTGGTGCATGCTTGTATTCCCAGCTCAGGAGCTGGGGAAGGAAGATGGCTTAGCTCAGAAGTTTCAGGCCAGCCTGAGCAACAGAGCAAGACCGCATCCCCCTCCACAAAGAATAACCAAAGAAAGTGAAAAACTAGTTGCGTTATAGAAGACTGGTGAATGACTGATGGGGAAAGGCTGAAGATATAGTGTTAAAATGTCATTAGGATGTATGACATCGTAATTTCTGATGTTTCCTAAAGGTAACAAAAATCCTTGACTTTCCTTTTTGGATACAGGGAATCAAGACCTCACACTTGCTAGGCAGGCACTGTGCCGCTGAGCTAATCCCTGGCCCAACCTTGACTTTTAAAAATTTATGTTTATAAGGCTGACAATAAAATTCAATTTTTAAACATACTTCCAGGATAAAATCCCTTTAAATGGGTAATGCTGATATTATAATCTCAAACTGTCGTTGTACTGAGCTAATAAGGATGAGCTACTAAGAGTAACTTTCAGATCTCCCCTGTGACTCCAATCAACATACACAGAACACAAGTGTCCGTTACCTTTCTAGGTCCTACAATCTCTAGCAATTAGATCAATTAGATCACTATTATCATAAAGCCTACCAGTTACTGCCCAGGTCTTTTGCAAAGGGGAAGGGGACAGAGGACGACGCAGGGAAGGAGAGCGGGGAGATGAGGATGAAAGAATGAAGATGTGTCATGTGGGGGCACTGACTCCCCATGTTGAGTGTCATCATTAGGCACTGCAAACATGGACGAGTAGTTTTTAAAAAAATTCTTACACTCTGAGTCCACTTGGGCAATTTGTTTTTTTCGAGCAACTCTCTGCTTGACTGCTCAGTGTGAGAACAGTGCGGGTTTACCTGACAAAGACGACTGTGAGCCTCCAAAATGACTCCTCCCAGCTGGGCCCAGGAACCACGTCGGCACACAAGGGCAGCAGGTGGTGCGGGAGGGTCACGTTGAGGGTGAAGCGGAATTCCAGGTCTGCCGCAGTCACCAGCATTAGCTCCCGAATGACCCAGGAGGAGGTAAAGTCAGGAGTAAACCTGCCAACAGGTGAGTCACCTTTATGAACTTTGGTTTTGACTTTTAGTCATGAAGTAAAATAACTATAGCACAGCAAAACCTGTCACTTTCACAAAACAAATACATAAAACAAACTGGAGATGCCTTACCAATGGCAAAAGCCCCTACTACTCCCTCCAGTGTTAAATACATCACAGAACTGAAGTTAAAACCCAGTACTTACACAATGCTGATATCCCGGGATGTATTTGGGTTCAAGGAAAATTGATGACAATCCAGCACTTCAAATCCGTAACCTTGGCAGTTATAGCCATTGATTTTCAGTGATGACACCGTTACAGGAAGAGGTCCGATATTCTCTACTTTAAAGTTCTTTGTAATAGATAAAATTTGCTTGCTGTCTTTCAGTTCTAATGAGGACAGAAAGTGTTATCTGGCATATATGAGCTGCAAAATTTGTTCAATACAACTTACTGAATCACAAAACACAACCTAATATTATGAAAATGTGAAAGAAGTTCAACGTAAGTTCCAAGCATGATTTCTAGAATCAGAATTTCTGTTGCTGTCATATCTAGATTGTTGTATTACAAGGATAGCACAGAAACAAGTTCAGATTTTTCTTAAGTTAAATGGTCTACCTAGGTAATCAAAATCTCCCTCAGAGTAAGTGGCTGACCTTTCCAGAATGTATGACATACTCTATACCAGTGGAGGGTAGGTCAGACACAGAAAGGCAGAAGCTACGGTTTCTCCTGAGGGAGGACTGCTGCCTAGAGAGGCGAAGTAGCAGCTAAACGGGCATTGCTGTGTTCCCTGCTCAGCCGTTCACATCAGATCACAGCCTTTTTGTACAAGCACATTTTAATGCAGGTGCCAACAGGTCCCTAAAAAGAGTCAAGAGGGCAGAGTTCGAGGGCCTCTGGATAGACATATGCACAGAGGATCACAGGATGACCAACAAGAACCTGTCCACCTGCTGGGCAGGTGCATCCCAACTCCACGGGGACAAAACTCCTGTACCAAGGCTCTCCCCAGACCCTGCCCTATGTATCTCTTCACCTGACTGCTTATTTCTATCCTTCAAAACGACTATACCACCCTGAACGCGCCCAATCTTGTCTGAAACACCCTTGTAGGACAGCTGAGACGTGTTCTGCACATGCGCCGACTCCCCACAATGAATGTAATCATTATGTACTGCAAACATGCTAATAAAAACAAAAAAATTAAAAGGAAAAACGTGCCCTTGATAATAACTGGATAAAAGGGAAATGTTTCCCTGGATTTTGTGCGCTGTTCTGGCAACCCTGAGGAGAGGGTCGCAAGACACCAGTTTGCAGCCTGTTAAGAGTTTCAGAGGCCTGGAGCTGTGACACTGAGGGCCTGAGCAACGTCTCCAGCAGACGGCATCAGGACCGGACTGGACTACAGGATGCCGAGCGATGTGCACTGCAGAACTGCTAGCTGTTGGTGCAGAGAAACCCTCACACCTTCTGAGACCACAGGAGTGATCTGTGTTCTGAGTGTGCAGTAGCTGAAACCGAGTCTGAGTTGGCTTAACCTCCCGTCTCACCAGAGCCACACACAGAACACTTCCATCATCACGAGAAGTTCCACTGGTTAGCACACATCTAGTCTTCTCTCAGTTCACTGCTCTGGTGTGGTTCTTTCATTAGGTATCTGACATCCAGATTAACTGCCTCATATATTTATCTTAAATATCTGACACAATACTGCCAATTTAGTAATTACACTTTTTCTTGCCTTTATATTTACTATTTAAGTCCAGTTAAATATCTAAAGCTACTAATCTAGAAGGCTCAAAGGCTTGCCTGGTTTAATCACCTGTATCAATGCAATGCATTTGCTACTAACTTTTTTTTTTTTTGAGACAAGGTCTCACTATGTAGTTCAGGCTGGCCTTGAGTTCACTATTAGCCCAGGCTAGTCTCAAACTTGCAGTGATCCTCCTGCCTCAGTGAGTGCTGCGATTATAGGTATGTGCCACCACACCCAGCTTACTACTAACTTTTAAAAGAGCCTTCCTACAGATCCTTCTGTTCTTGGTTGTAATGCGCAGCCTCCCACCAGGGCACCATGTACTTGAACTCACGTCGGCGGCAGTCCATCAGCGTGGACTCGGGCACCTTAAAGCGGAGTGACCCCCCTGTGCCAGGAAGTCGTCCGCCCACTTTCAGCAGCTCTCTCGCGCCAAGTCCTTCCACACCAACCACATCGATAACTGTCAAGTTGTTCCTGGAGAGAAAGAAGACACACTGAAAAAGGTGTCAACACAGGCAACTGGAGCTGCCTTTTTTCTTCAGGAGGGGTGGTGAAGACACGACTTCGCTATGTAGTTCAGGCTGTCCTTGAACTCACAGCAATCCTCTTGCCTCATCCTCCCAACTGCTGGGATTACATGCATGTAGTACCATATCCAACTCACAATTGTTATTTAAAAGGAAAGAAAAGGAAGAAAATGAACTCAAGAAATACTTTTTCCATTTTCCTCTGGGAAATTCCTCTGCCAGGAATGAGTGGTTTAAGTGCAGATACTACAGAGGTAAACGTCTATAGCAGTGTTTCAATTATTTTTCTATACCAAGGAAACAGGAATACATCTGTGTGTGTCTTCTGCCTTTTCTGATAGCACTGACCACAAATGGAGACAGGAACTTGCTCCTGGGAGAGGGAAGTGACAGAGGCACCGAGGATGATGCATGGAACAACAGTGGCCCCATCACCAAGGCCTCTTCCTAACCTGCAGCCCAGCCTCATCCCTGCAAACTGACTCAGGGCTGTCCGCTCTGAGCTCAAGAGACTGCTTGAGAGACAGATTTAGGCAGATGAGTCAGCAACAGGGACACACCTACCGGATTAGTATGAGTGAGGTAACTTTTCCATAGTCCACTGGTGTGAAAACCACACCAACCCTTTTCATTTCCAGAGGCTGCAAATCCAAGTGGAGGGTGGCAAACCCAGACTCCTCAGAGTGCATTCCCTGCAATGTATTAATGGTACAATCAGACAACTCCATTCTCCTGTAGAGCAAGTTTCCATCTTCATTAAGTGTATCTAAAGACTGTTGCTTTTCTTTTAATGTCCAGATCCAACCGTCCTCATCAACCTTTGCTGTTGCTTTAGTGACACTGGGTATGGAATCATCAACCTATCTGAATGTGTTTACCCTGATGAGTTCAGGCCAATAAACATTTCCCAAGTTGCAGCTGCGACATACAGGGAGTGGCTGCAGGACAACCTGACATGGAAGCTAGAAAAGGATTTGCTTTCTGGCTTGGGAGGAGGTGAGGTTAGAAGCCTTCCATATGAAGAAGATTAAATGCAAAACCATTAACCACAAGAGAGACCAGGAAGTCTGCTCAAATGACACAGCAACCAGACAGACCACCCATTCACTGTAGGACAAGCCTAAGATCACTGTAATGTTCAACTCATGTTTACATGGAAACCATACTTTTCACATGTAGTCTCTCCAATCAGTGAGAAATGCCTCTATTCACATGCTTCTTCCTTTTCTCCAAGATTTATTCCTGAGCAAAAACATTCTGTTCTAAAATTTAACAGTCAAGATTCAGTCTTTATCTTCCTGCTACTTTTGCTAGCTTCTCACTAAAAATACTTTTTAAGAGTTATGATATAATCTGTACAATGATAGTTTTCATTCCTGTATTTTCAGCTTTTAAATGTGTTTTATCCTTTAAGAATGGCTATCACTTCTCATTCTATCTGAAAAAATTATTCTGAAAGAATAAACGGTGATGGGGCTGGGAATACAGCTCACTGGGACACTGCTTGTTTAGCATATAAGAAGCCCCAGGTTTAATCCCCAGTACTGCCAAAAAACAAGAGTGAATAAATAAATGAATAAATGATGATGCATTTTCACTGGAATTACAAACTCCATGAAGAAGAAAACCGTGCTTCATATACATAATATAAACAGTAACAAAAAAGTTGCTGACTTTGGTATTCAATTTATAATAACAGCACCATTTGCTAAGTGATTATTATATGCCTGGCGCTGGGTTACTTCAGGCATGTAAAATACCAAGCCACACACTTTCTAAATCTTACTGAATCTTCACACATTATTTTGCAAAATGAGATTAAATAATTCACCAAGGAAGGTCACACTGGTACAGCACAGGAAAAACCAGGATTCAAACCCTCAAAATCCAATTCCATACACTCTTAACCAAAGGAACCGTATTTCTAAGAACAAAATTAGAAGAGTCCTTTCTTTACATAACAAAAAGCTTCAAAAACAATTTTCAGTTACATTCTAAGTTTCTTCAAGGCACTGATGTTCTTTTTGTTTATGTAGTACATTAACAATGGTAGTAATTTCCCTTATTCCAAAGGTATAATGTTCTTAGGGAATATTTGTAGTCACAGATATAAACTTTTTCCAAATGAGCTGTATCACTGTTTCACATCTGAATAGAATATTTGGATATAAAAGAAACTGGCTTTATTTCTTCAATGTGAAACTGATAGGGAAAAACATCTCTTAGTAGGTGTCATGGACTAATCACTACTAACAGTACCGGAGAAAACAAGACCACACGGGTACAGGGCTCTGGCCACTCTGGCGCAGCCGCGGACACTGCAGAGAAAGGCTATGTGCTGGCAATGTGTTTGCTATTGTAAATAAGTCTCTATAGGAAACCCACTTAAAACCTTGCTTTGACTCATTCTGTTTTAACTCTTAGCTGGAGGTTATCCATAGTCTCCTGTTATTCCACAGTTAAGCTAGGGCAACAAATATATTTCTGAAGAGATAGGGCAGAGAAAGAAAAACAGAAAAGGCACTTCAACGTGTGTGTGTGTGTGTGTGTGCGCGCGCGCGCGCGCGCGCGCGCATATGTACATGCCTTCTCTTTTCAACAGATGCTCCACTGGGCGGGGTGGGGGGTCGTGAACCCAGAGCCAAAGCATGCTAGGTAAGCACTCTACTGCTGAGCAACACTCCCAGCCCCTATAGCCTTTTTACTATAGAGATAGGGTCTCGCTGTGCTGCCCAGGCTGGCCTCCTACCTACAGTCCTCCTGCCTCAGCCACTGAACAACTGGGATGTCAGGTGTGCATCACCATGCCTGACAAATGTTCTACTTTTGAGTTGATCTCAAATGCACAGTATCTGTGAGGCCAACACTCTATCCACAAAGTCACTGAATAAAAGCTAAGAAATCAGGCTGGAAAGTCCCTAGGCAAACAATGTTCTCACCATGTGTCTTTCTACCCCTACTCCTAAGTGAAGTCTCCTGATTGCCAGGGATTTAAGAATTTCAGAGACATTCTTTTTTATAGATGAGATGAATATAACAGAGACTAGGTGACCTGCTAAAAATATGAATACAGTTTAGATTAAAAAAATTTTTATATATATTCATTTTTACCTTATATTCACCTAAAAAGAATTTAAGGGAGCCAGAGAGTCCTGAAAGAATTACGAATTTTGGGCTCCTGAGTTTCATGGTTTTCTACATAGCTCTGACTCAAATGTTATTTCTTCATTTACATGAGTTTAAAATCATCAAATTAAAATGATTTACAGGCTAACATGAATCTGACTCCTGCTGCACTAGTTAATTGGAAAAATCTGCTCTGCAGCCATCTTTCATGCCTAGAGAATGAAAACAAGAGAGCCACACACAGTACACAAAGACACTTTAAACATGAAGCCGTGAGGCCCATACGCTTCTAGGGTTAGTCCACCAACAGTCTTTTTCTGTGTGGAGAGGACACCCTACCCGGTAAGGGCACGTTCTGGTGAGCTGGAATTCACTGGTTGTAAAGTTAATCATCCGAGTATCAGTGCCAAACCTACAAAGACAAAAACCAAAGGTTTAAAATAGCATTAAGATCCGCCAAAAAGAAAGAATACTGTGTGTGTGCATGTATGCACGCACGCGCACGTATCTATTTATCTATGCGCACACACACAGATTCACCTCGCCCGGGCACTAGCCTGCCTCAGCCTACTCCGCCCAACCCCAGCCGGCACACTGTCAGAGCTCGGAAGACAGCACACAGGGGATGAGTCTGGCAGCACAGAGTGTGAAGAAACATATAGTGACAAAAAAATTCCAAATATGAAGTGATTTTTTTTCTCCAAATGGTTTTCAGACATGGAACCTAAAAAGAAGTAAATCAAAGGCAAGTTCACCCTCAAGACACATCAGTGACATCTGGAGACATGTCTGGGTGCTGTGGCTGGTGAGATCCTAGTGGCCCCTCGGGGGAGTGCCAGGGATGTGGGTGAAGACCCTTCAATACACGAGACGCACGCACACACATGCATGCACGCACACGTGTGCACATCTCCTATTCAAAATGTCACTGGTGCAGAGGCTGAGAAACCTGGGGTAGGAGATATGTTCCCAAACTGAGAGGAGGCAACGTTCTAATTGCAACTATGATTACGTGGAAATAATGGTACCAGACACGAATGAGCACTACCATCATTTCTTACAATTTGACTGTAGATTAAAATACACCAAAATACTACTTCTTTTTCTTGCTAAGTTGTCAGCTAGCCTTGAACATGCCACCCTGCTGCCTCGGGCCCAAACAGCTGGGATTACACATATGCACCATGGTAGCCAGTTTCAAACTCGTATTAGCATGCTTCAGACTCTCAATTTCAGCAGTGTACCCGAAAGTCAAGATGGTAAAGGTTCCTCAACACAAGAAAAGAAGAACGTGACCCAGCTATTCCCCTTCTAGGTACCCTCCCCAAGAAGAATTAAAGACATCATACGACACAGACCCATGCACACCCATGTTTACAGCAGCACAGTTCATAATACCTAAGTCCTGAAAGCACCCTATCTGTCCATCGACAGATGAATGTATAAAGAAAATGTAGTTTTACACACAATGGAGTACTACTCTATCATAAAGAGGGATAAACTTGAGACATTTGTAGGAAAATGGATGCATCCCGAGATCATAATGTTAAGTGAGATCAATCAGACACACAAGCTTCACTATCACAGGAGGAGACAGACTGAAAAAAAGAATTAAGATGGGTTGTGAACATGCACCAACTCCCCACAAGGAATGTAATCTTTATGCACTGCAAACACAAACTAATAAAAATAAAATAAATTATTCTGTCTTAAAAAAGAACAGAACATCCACCAGATGGTGGGCCTGACACAGTGACACACAAGGTACCAGACAACACAGAGTCAGGAACTTCCAACACCAACGGGCTGGGTACTCATGTACATAGCTCTGAATCGGGGCCTGGTACATTTACACACAGAGGCCAGCAGACAGAAGCACGGGGCTTCTTCAATGGCTCTGAGTGTTGGCTGTGCTTCCCGCTGCCCCTCACACGGAGCGTCTCCCTACCATCTGTGCAGCAGACGCACTGCGGCTTCCGGCTTGGGGTACAAGGAGAGAGGCAGCAGCTGCAAGGACACTGGCAGGGAGGACGGGTTCCTCACCATGAAGTACTTCACCTGGATGTGGAGAGAAGAAGATTAGCTCTGCAAAGGACACAACATCCTCTTGAAATATCCAGGCCAGGACAGCATAACTTCCATCTAGCAACAAGGAACCATTACAACTCTAACGGAGGGACAGCTTAGCAAATAAACGGTCTGCATACCCCCAATGTCTTTGCGGGCTGGGGGTCAACTCACTGGTAGCACAAATACTCAACATGGATTTGACCCCCAACACCAAAAACAGTAACAAAAAAAAAAAGCAGGCTGTAGAAGAACAAAAAGACTAAAAAGACAATGCAATTAGACCTTGGGTTGCACGCTGAACTGGTAAAAAAATAAAACACTAAAGCATGATAGTAAGCTCCCTAGAAAAAGTTCAATACAGACCATACATTAGAACATTCTGATTAGTATTTCATATTTCGACTTTGGTAGTTATACTTTCATTATATTTAAAAAATGCCACTGTTCTTAAATAATTCACACTGAAATAGAGGTAAGGGGCCTAGCATCTGCTACTCTCAAATGGTTCATAAAAAATACGAGTAGAGAAAGAGAGGGAATGATGAAATAAGTGCGACAAAAATTTAACACTTTTGAATCTTGGCGAAGGGCCAATGAGAGTTCTTGGAACTTTTCTCTAAGTACGAATTACTTAAAAACAAAAAGCTAAATGAAAAGAACAAAAGCAATCTTAGGGGTAACCCTAAGCAGCTCAATGAGCACTGCTAATGTGTATGCTGCTACTTGAACCACAGGACATAGTTCTGGATGTGAGACTAAGTGGAAGGCCGCTGGTGGCACCTTTCCTCTGCCTGCCCCCTGCTACCCAAGCTGGCTGCAGAGGCGTGCATGAGGGAGGAAGCCAGTACACTAAGGATGAAAAGTAAGTGCACAGATGGAGTCTACAACCCAATGGCATCACAGAGCAGCCTGGTTGGCTCTGGGCTTTCTTTCAGCTTCTCACTATGAAGCTAAGTCCTGTTCTAAGCCTACATTAGCCTAGATTTTCTCTGTTAGTAAGCAGAATACTTTCTTAACCCATGTTTCATTTATGAAGTTCACATTCAATTCAAAATTTGTTCAATGCATGTTCAATCATCCTGTTCTTCTGAAATGTCGCTAATGTGCCCTAATGACGCAGGTGTATGAGTTTACAGTAATTTTGGTTCAGAAACAGTATCTCCTGTGGACATACAGGAAAATCTTGGTTTGCAAGTTATTTGTTCTACAAGTGCTCCACAAGATGAGCAAACATTTCTAATAAATTTTTACATGATAAATTAGTAATGTCTTACTATAGGAGTAATACATGACACCGAATGCCACATGATCACAACTGGGCCAATGGTGGTTCACCCCACACCCACCCCACGCATGTAGGATCATCTCCCAACAGCAAGAGGTTATGCAGGAGATCTCATCTGCTGAGGAAGAGGAGAAAAAGGCAGAGGAATCCCTCACCTCAAATGAGACTAGGAAGATGTGTAAAATGTGGGAAACAGTACAAAATTTTGTAGAAAAGCGACACCTGAATAAGGACGTAGCAGTGCAAGCAAAGAATCTGTTCAACAACCATGAAATGTCACATTTCTATGAAATTCTTAAAAGGAAGTAAAAGCAAGAACCACTGGATAGCTCCTTTGTTTTTTGTTTTGTTTTTTTTCCAGTACTGGGAATCGAACTCAAGACTTTGCGCTTGCCAGGCAGGCGCTGTGCCGCTGAGCTAAATCCCCAGCCCCTGGATAGGTCCTTTGTTAAAGTTGCACAAAAAGAGAAAGATTCCACTGAGCCAATAGACAGCAGTAACTCTTATTAGTGAGAGTGAACGTCATCCTACACAACAGCCCTCCTCTCTCTTGTATCCCTCACACCAGCCAGGAGGGTTTTCAAAGGTAAGTGCAGCTTAATTTACTTTTCTTTATAGTTTATATTTGCTTTATTATTTCACGTTCTATTACAGTACTATAATCACTTTTACATGAATATTTTTAGGTTGTGGAACAAATCATCTGTGTTTTCATTATTTCTTCAGGGGAAATCTGCTTTGATATACAAGTACTTTGGATTACAAGCACATTTCTAGAACAAATTATGTTCACAAACCAAGGTTTTACGGTACTCTGAAAATCAAGAACTAGGGTGTCACTGACAGAGATGAAAAGACACACTGTCCTTACCACACTGTTCCGAAGGGCAGTCGCACTGAAGTTCAACACAAGGCCAGGCTCTGTGACCAAACGAGGCAAAAAGAAAGGAAAGGGTTCCAACTCCTTGGATTTTTGGAAGTGGGCAAACTGAGTCATTCCTAAAACATTCCTCCTGTGTAATTGAGAAAGACATTATCATGGAAAATAATTTCAACATTAAAAAAATGAAGGAAATCACTAAATACCACTCCTATTCAAAGGAAAAAGGGCTCTTGGGGAAAATGACTTATGCTAGCACTAAGTCTGAGGAAGAGAAAGCCTAAGATTGTCTTTGGAAGGTGGAGAGTGTAACTCCACGGTACAGTGCATGATTAGCACGGCCTGTGTTTAATCCCCAGAAAAAGTTGACCTAGAACATTCTATTTTACTGGAAAGCAATCAAGTGCTCATAGAATGATAGCAAAAATCAAGAGACATACAAGCTTCCCAAGCTGTTTATCATTAAAAATGACAGTAAATAGAGAACAACACACTGAAGACACTAATGAGGCTCAAAAGAGGCCCCTTCATAAAAAAAAAAAAAAAAAAAAAAAAAAGCACTTGCTAGTAAATGTAGAATGAACAAATAGAAACATCACCATTTTGCAGCTGTAATAGTAACAACTGATGCAGGTAAGGACTATCCATGAGTGCTAAAACCAGAGCGAAACACTCTTAGGGAACAATACATTTGTGTGGTATCAAATCTTCACAGCACACATTGTTTTTTAATTACAAAAAGAAAAACAGTATGGAAAGTAAAGAGATCTGTTATGCGTCACCTAAACGAAACGAAATAACCATATTAATAGTGGGACAAACTGACAATTTATGCACCTCCTGATGTGATGCATGACACAAGATCAACACAGTATAGTATTCTTGCTAAAAATGCTTAATTTGAATATAAACCTAACGAACCAATCACCAAAATCCAATATGAACCAGGACTCAAAAACTTGTCAACATGAAAAGTGAAAGCTGGAGCCCTGGTCTAGCCTACAGAAACAAGACAACCACATGCAAGGCCTGGTCCTTGAACACACTAGGAACAAAAGAAAAAAAGAAAACAAACCTATAATAAATATTAGTTCAACTCAGGAAATTTTAATTAGACAGTAACAATTCCACTGAAGTTGGATTTACTGGGTGTGCAATGGAAATATGCAATTTTCTAGTAAAGTGTTGAGGGTTCCTAGCGAATTGCCTACTGCACTGATACATACAAGCTCACTTTCAAATGACTTGGCAAAAAATGAGTGAATATGTGTGTAACAAAGATACAAAAGGAAACAGAGGAAAAGTGGTAAGATGCGAACACCTCATAAACACAATCTACTTGAGGAATATCTGAATGCTCCCTGCATTATCCTTTCAATTTTTTTGAGGGCTGAAACTTGTCAAAAGAAAAAGATAAAGGCAAATATCACCAACCACTAAAACTTGAGTATAATTTCAAAAAATTACTACGTAATAGTTTCTCCCCACTGCTTAACAACAGAAAAGTTGAAGACTTACCTACAGACATCACCATTTTTATATTTCTTCCAGCTTTCATACAATTTATTTGCAAGTTCCGAATCCATATCCCAGGTAGACAGATCCAGAGAAAGGCTCCCATCCCAGTTAGGTTTCTCTAGAAGGGAGACCAAATTTAATGTTTAGATTTCTAGAAAGTACAGCTAATTAACAACCCTCAAGGGCTGACTGTTAAAACACCTCAAACTGAGAGAACTAGGGTCAATAAATGCCACCTCTTTCGCCTGCTACTTAACCAGAAGTCCCTCTAACTCAAAGGCAAATGATATATCAAATTAAACAAACATATGAAAAACAAAACGAAATTGAATTATGTAAAGGTATTAACACAAAAGACACATGGCTCGTGAATACAGCCTGAAATAAATTAAGATTATATTTGTAGCATTTTTAAGAGCTTTAAATCTGAAATGTAAAACTGCTTTCCATATAAATGTGTTCATCCTCCAAGTCTTTCAGGACCCTATGTCAAGTGCTGAGAGACAAATGCCACTTTCTCGCGAGAAGGCAGACCACAGGCTGACCCCACACAAGATGCCCGTTTACACACTGGTCCACTGTCCCTATCACCCTCCCTGCTTGCCTCTGCTAAGCAGGGTACCAGGAAGAAAAAGCGGGGCTCTTCCGATAGAAATGTCTGTGCTTTAAATCTCTCCTTTTAAATAGCTTGATCAATTGAAATGCAAAAGAAATTTGTTTTTTAATCCAGAAAACTAAAAACTATTTCCATATCGACACTCTGGCCTTCAGCCTCACACCACTCTTAGCACCCCTACAAGACGTTTATATCCTATAGCTTAAGTCCGCAAATGCAATTCCAAATTGTTTTTACTAGCTTCTAGCCAGCTCTTTTATAAAAGAACCAGAATCTTCCCATTTTCCTGGTGAGGCTGTTACAATGATCAAACAGTATTATTTTTTAGAAGTCCCTTACAAAAACATGAGCTACTAAAGAATAAGAGCATTATTTACACAAGTACCCTGGATGTGTTTTGGAGGATTCTTAACAATTTGAAGTCATTCTGTCAATGATCATGCTAGGAATAGAATATGACACAATAACTTTAACAGAATTAACCTTCCACCTAATTTCACTCACTACCTCCCAGTTCCCCCCAAATTCAAATTCTACAGAAAGCCTAAGGGCAAAATACTTACCCGCTTTTGATTTTCCCATGAAATAATGCATGCCACAATGTGCTATCACTTCAAAACCCAGACTCCCTTCCTAGATTGAAAAGTAATATATGAATAACTTAAATCACAACACTTGGCATAAAAATCCTAATGCACTAAAATATGAAGCAGACACTGGCCTTCACCTCAGTGGACTTCCCTTTCACCAGGAGCCAGACAACTAGAAAGACATGTCTTGGTGTTCTTCACCCTTGAATCAGGTCAGAGAAATCTGAGCTGCCTTTCACAGAAGGGTCGTGACAGTGGATTCTATATAATCACCAATACCCATAAAGACAGCCGCAAGACACCCAGCTACCACACGAATTAAAGATTAAATTAGTTTTAAGACAGTCTTAGGAGTGTTTTGTTCTGCTTGTTGTTTTTCACTTCACTCTAGCCCTCTGAGAAGCAGTATGCCAATCCACAGTAAGTCCTAGCTACTCAGGACATTTAACATCCTATTTCCTGCAGATCTGAAGAGTCCAGACTGGCCAATTCCACACACACCTGAAACCTGCCTTCTGCTCCCTCCCCTCCTCACTCTTTTTACATGTGCCTCTTAACTAGAAAAAGGACATTTCTGAGAAATCTGCCTGTTCACAATATATAATGGTATTAACTTCACATTTTTGTTGACGATTTGTAAAGTTCTACCTTCAATCTTAGAATTAAACACAAGGTACTTACAGCTGTGAAACATCAACACTAGTTAAGTGAGAAAAATCATAAAGATGATTGCATGAATGTCTCATAGTGAAAAACTAGAACCCAGTGTTATACAGAATAGCTTGGATCAAAAGGAAGCAACAATAAATAAAAAGAAATATACATTAAGAAAAATGAGACAATGTTTAAGAGAACCTAAATTAAATACAATTTACCCAAATTTTACAATGTATTCACTTGTGAAAGCTTTCAGGCTTTAGGCTTGGCCCACTAGGAAAACTCAAGGGTTACACGCAGTAACTAAATGTCATTTAGAAGAGGAATTAATAAAGTATTTAACAATCTAATTTATTTGATGTCACTGTGGAATGAAATGAAATTTCAAAGATGTTATCTACAGCAAGCACGTATCTCTTGCTTCAAAACTTTTGGAAGTAAGAGCTGAGGATGGGCCCAGTGAGAGTGCCCTTGCCTAGTATGCACGAGGCACCAGGCTCCATTCCCAGCACCACAAAAAAAAAAAAAAAAAAGTACTTTTAGAAATGAATGAAAATGAAGTTGACTGATCAATTTGGAATGATTTATTTTATTAAATAATCTCAAATCACTTTATGAAAAGTAGATCCTTGCAAATAAAAATTTCAGTGCGTAAACAAATTTACCATCAAAAAAAAAAAAAAATTTACCATCTAAAGTTGGCCTGATGATATCCTTCAATTTAGACAGCCATGAAGAACACAAACTTAAACCCAGTTAATAAAACCCAAGCATCATAAGTAAATAAAAAGAAAGTTATTATTTTAAAAACTACAACATTCATAGGATGTTGTAAACAATACCTTGGTTGGTGCTGAGAAAATCTGTAGAGGTATTGCAAAAATGGCACCTATGTTTGTAGTCAAAAATACATTGGTGAATAGATTTATGGCAATGTCTTTAACAGCAAGTTTCAAAGAAAATATATTCCAACAGCCTGGAGGTAGAAATAAAGGGCCAGTGAAATTCAGAATCTAAAAAGAAAAGAAGCAAGAAAGATTACTTTTCCTAACACTAATTATATTTTAAATCCCTATAAAGTATGATGCTAAAGTTCTTCAATACACTAGAAAGTATTTTACTGAATTAGTTCTACACCAAAGACTGAAATATTTCAAATATTGTTTAATATGCCATTATCTTCATTTTCACAAATGGTATTTTGCAAACTCTACTATTTTATCATTAATCAGATTTATTTGTACTAAATAATTTTTAGTACAAATCATGTTAACATTTTAAATAATGTTAGGGGTAAGTATTGTTAAAAGATACAAACTGATTATTTTGAGCTCCTTAAACAAAAGCTGAAAAATGAGAAGCAAGCAGGGTACTGAGGTGGGTGAGGGAAAGAAAGATAGAGATCCTAAAAGGTATTCTGAAATATTAAAAGAAAAATATTTTCTTAAATTGTACACCAAAATTAAATTTTATAGGTATTAACTGCATAGCATTTGACTAAAGTCAAAATAAAGCTACAATAAGCCAAAGCTTGGAGAAACATTACCTTGAAAATGTGCTTGGTTTCCTTGGAAACAAACACATCCTTTAACACAATGCCTCGGTCAAAATGGTTGAGACACCATATGGACCACACTCCTGACATGTTCTCATGACTCTCTATATGAAACCGGGCTGCAGAGGAGTCCACTCTGAAATACCTGTGGACAGCAGATACACGGGCAGTTAGCTTTGAGTGCAAGGAAACCATCAGCTTTCAAAGCAGCCTCCGTCTGCAAAGAGGGGAGCAGCACAAAACACTGCTGTGGGCAATGACCAGGTATCACTCCCTCAACCTTTTGGCTCACACCAACAGTGACGGCCAGAAGTGACCCAGCAGTGGCCAGGCTAGCTCAGAGGCCACCGGGGCCAAACCAGGTCTGAACGCCACTCAGAAATCAGCACGAGCACTTCTTTCCACCTACCTGACCCCTGGGCCTGGAACCTATTTCATGAATTGAATTACTTAACTCTTTCTTCCTGTTTTTCTAGGAAACCTTTCACTGTCTCCTCAGTGCTGACACAAGGGGAGGCAACTCCAGAAAGAGAAGTATATAAGCCATATCACTTATGTTTTAGAAGCATCTACAGAGGAAAAAGCCGTGATTTTAGGGAACATGCAAAGAACATACCCGTGCACCACTGGGGACGAGAGGCATGCTTTTAGTGTTGGAGTGTTTTTTGTTTTCTTCACGTCTTCTATAATTCCACTGTCACATGTTGTAGCTGCTTTTTGTGTAAAGAAATAAATGTGAACTGTAAGTATCTTTCTTTCATTAAGCCTGAACAAAAATAAGATACAGGTTTTACTTATAACTTTTAATTCACTTTGCTGACATAATTAAAACTGTGAATCAAATACATATGGTAACACACTTTCTCAAACGTTCCTATGTTCTTTACTGGCTTGTTGCCAATGATTTGGAATATGAGGACTATACCCCCTCTTTTTAAAACCTTTCATTTCTTCTTTTGGGGAAAAAGCTAAGAATACTTTGTGGCTTTTCCTTCACACAGATCTGTCTTTACCTTAATAAGAGGAAAGCCCTAGGCCTGCCAGAGATGACAGAAGTGAGACGCAGAGCTCACTGGCGGGGTGCAAAAGAGCGCGCAGAGGCCATAATCACAAGACAGGGATGAGACCTGACAGCAAAGGACAGCTTAACTGTAATCAGTGGGAGTGAGCTTTAAACACCACTCATTCATAAAAATACTGTTTTTAGGCTTTCCTTGATCTAGGTCATAATGCTAAGTCGCTGATGTTGAATTTTTAACTCTCACGCTAACAATTTTCTTTAAAGCTATACATATGCTTCCAAAAACAATTGAAATGCTACTAAAAAAAAAAAAACAATGAAACTAACATCTACCTTCACCCCAGCATCTTAGAACAGAGGAAATGACTGTTAGCACTTTCTTGAGCATCCATCCTTCCAGGTGTTCTGTACCTAAACAAACACTCTTTAAAAAGCAAGACGGCCACAGACAGCTTGCACTGCAAGACCATGGACACTTTTTAGTAGCTGCAGAGGGTGAGCTCAATTTAACAGTGACCCACTGTTTATGACCTTTATTGATCTAGGTAGTAAATTTTATCTCATTTACTGCTTTGAATTATGTCTTGAAATATGAGTGAGGCTGGACATACAGCCCGTAATTCAAGTCCATCTAAATTCCTCTATAGAACTCTTTAACTGTAACTAAGAACCTGAAGACAGGACAGGGTTCCTACTCACTAAACATTCTTCACAAAGAGACTGAGGAACATAATTAGGCTACCTGTGGAAGCCACATCTCAAACACACACAGGTTCACCCCGGTCCTGCAAGTCACCAAGTTAAGCTTCACATACTGTAGCTTTAAACGCTACAGATACAGCAGAATAGAACAAGTGCCATCACCATGTTTTACATCATTCCACCTCTTAACAACACAAAGACTTTGGTTTACTGAAACCAAAACCTTTATAAAACCATGTCTCATTTGCAGTTTCAAGTAGCTGTGCAGAAAGCATTGCCAAATAATCAACTAGATAATGAAAGGAAAAGACAAACTCCAGTATTTTAAATGAATACCTTTGCAAGTAAAAGAGGCAATTTTGGTGAAGTTAGTTGCAGAAGTAGGTAGTAGTACTGGTTTAAACTGCAGAGACAGAGCATCCCTTTGTGAGATGTGATGGACATCCTGTAAGAAGAAAACTCCAATTACTACTCTCATCCAGGAGACTATTTACATAGTTTGAATGCACTCTGTTAAAATAAGTAAGGGACCCAGATCAGAATACCTAACAATTGCTCAGCAGATATGTCTGCAAGGAGATGGGGATAACTTTCACACAAATTCGGATTCAAGCAAGGGAGAATGGGTTTAAATGTAAGTAAAACATAACAGATACAACTATTTCTGCTTCTCTTCCTGAAAAGTTCTCACATCCTGCAATTCAGTGCCAACTTGTAATTTCAAATTCAAGTAACCATTCATTAATACCTGTATCCATATAAGGCTGTTTCCTGAATGTAATACATACATATTCACTGCCGAATCATCTGTCCAAAAGAATCAAACCAATGAGATTAGAACAAAAAGTCATCTCATTCCCAGACCTTAATACTGTAATTAACTATACATTTCTACAAAAAAATTAACTACTTTTTGAATACTGCAATCAAATCCAGAAGCTGTTTCCTTTTAGATATTGTTTTAAGTCACAAGAAAAAAGATCCTTACAAAAAAAACTGGCCTAGTAATGTAGGCTCTCTAAATGAAGAATTACCAGGACAGAAATTATAAGTTTAGGCTTATACTACGCTCTTCTGCAGGAAACTCACTGAATGAACAGCCACGTTTGGAAAGAATTAAGCTTTGGTATCTCAGAACACAGGCTGGATTTTTTCCAGATCTTGCCAAAAGAAATGTTCCCCGCAGAACAGGAGTCTTCTCTGCATTAGTGTTTACCCATCTATTATGAGAGTCACCAGAAAACTATAGACCCAAGACAGGAAAGCTTTCCTGCAATTCATCATGACTCCTGCCAGTCATGAGGACTCAAAGGTAACATTCGTCCAGCCCATAATTCAGAGGCCAACAGGGCTCAGCATGTAGCTCAGTGGAACAACATGTGCTTAACCTGTGAGAGGACCTGAGTTCTGTCCCCAGAACCACGACACAAAACTGCAAATAAAAAACTATGCTTTTATGTACCATTTGTGCCATTTCGTTTACATATGTATTTTTATATTTACATTAATATTTTTCCTATGTTTATATTCTATTTTCCTACAAAGCAGTCATTATACCCAAAGGCTAATAGTAAATGATACAGTACAAATTTTATGGATCATACAATATGTATTCCCTACCAAAATTATTAGAAAGTTAACTGATGAGGTAGGTTATTTCTAGAACATATATTTCTAAAGGTAAAATTCATAGAACTGAACACTAAAATTCCACTGTAATTCTACTTGTCAGGCATCCAAGAACTAGCTACGGTATTGACTATCAAGAACACAAAAACAGCATGATTTCATCAACCAAGCTTTTTGCAAGTCAGTAAATCTGGAATAAGAGACCTAAGACTTCAAACACTTCACATAAAGCTCCAAGAAAGTGATTCCACAAGGACTCAGAATAGCTTGCACTGGTCATTTAACTTACCCTCAAAATAATAATATAGCCTTATTAGCAGCTGCAGATTAGTTACGACTAATCTCTTAATAAAAGCAAAGGCTCTTGGTCTTGATTTGCACTGATGCAATCTATAAGAAAATGCTACTAACTGATAATGGAAGGTTAATGAAAATATGCTATAACAAAGTTTTTTATTTAGTATTGTGGTACTGGGTATCAAACTCAGGGCCTCATGCATGCTAAGCACACACACTACTCCTAGGTTATACCCCCAGTCCTATAATGAAAACTGTAGGAGATTTCATCTTACCTGAGGTTTCAGATTTGTCTGTTGCTACATAAACAATAGAGAGATGATCTAACAAATCTTGAGTGTTTTCTTCAAATTCTTTTGAGGAGTTTTCCATTGTTACAATTATGCTCATTTGTAAGTGTAAAACATCATCAGATTCCAGGTAACAACTCTGAGATTGGAGGGAGAGGGGGGAAAAAAGGAAAACCTCAAAAAAATAAAAGATCACCTAAACTTTGTGATTTTAAATTTCTGAAAAAGAAAAGCACTTAAGACAACAGCATGTTTATTTCTGAGAACAGAATATGAGTGCTGTTTTAGTTTTAATTTTTAAGCAAAGACACAGGAAGGAAGGCTGAAAGGAAATACTAAATATTTTATTTTACCTTTAATTGCTGACACACTTTATTATGTAAACTGCACTCCAGATGCACCTGCAAGAGGCTGGTATTAGTGGTTTCTGCCTAAATAAGAAAAAAGGGGGAAAGAACTTAATAAGAAACAAAAGGCACATGCTAGCATTAACAGTAAACAACCCATCACTTATTCAGAAACCACATTTATTCATTCATTCACTCAACAAATATTTGCGTATCTCCTTAGTGCTAGTAGGCATTATTCTATTTACTGGAAACGTATCAGTGAGCAAAACAGAAAAATCTGTGCTGACAGTGAACTTACCTTCTAAAGGACATCATAAATTCTCCTGTAGGCAACATGAAAATTCTTAGGATAGCAATAAGCAGGTAAGGATGTTCTGAATACACATAGGAACACTGTCCTGGAGCATTTCTAGTGTGCGCTACTAAGTGTTTGAACAGAGAAGTCTACTTTTACATTAATAATCAGTTCATTGTTTTTATGTGTGCCTTCTATCAGTACAATGACATTCCGAAAGCCATGACCCTCAAGGCAGACAAAACTTTAGGAAATGTCCAAATTTGGGGCCAGGGATACAGCTCAGCAGTACAGCCCCTACCTGGCAAGGGCAAAGTCCCAAGTTCAATTCCTGGTGCCAAAAAAAAAAAAAAGTCAAAATTCAACTGGCTATTGTAGTATGTGGAAGAGCAAGAGACTAAGGTATATGAAAAGAATGCAGGACTCTGAAATTCAAATGCTTTAGTCACACTGGAATATATCTACATGCTCAAGAAAAGGAATAAACCAGTAGAGGGACACAACCAGTAGAGTGGGACAGAAGAGCCTGCAGATGTATGAATACATAGAAAAGCTAGTTAGTATAACACATCAATCTATAGAATCCGGGCCACAAGATTTCCTCTTTCATAAAGTTCATGTCACTGGCATAGTGATTATAAATAGGAGCCACAGTCAGCGCACTGGGAAATCTCCAAATTAAGAAAGCATTCCCCCAAACCTGCCTTACTTAACCATGTATGTGACCTCTACTACCTCCAGGAAGATGCCTTCAGCAGAATCACCACAATCACAGCCTCTCAGATTTTTAAAGATTTCAGTATATTATACAAAAATGTATCTAGGGGCTGGGGCTGAAGCTCAGCAGTAAAGCATGAGCTCAAGCACTCACCAGGCCCAGCACCAGAACCACCACCAACACCAAAGTTTTAACTACTCCACTTATCATCCAAGCAGGTAAGTATAGAAAAAAGAGTAAAATATATTACCTTTTTAAATACAGTAAAGATATTAAGGGTACTTTAAGCCTATAAATGGTACCAAATATTAATAGGCTTTAAAAAAGTTAGTGCTTAGCAACTGCTAGTATTCTTAGAACATGATATGTAAGTTCAATCTAAAAGCTTAACTAGATTTTTTTAAATTTTTAAAGAGTAGTAAATGAGAAACAAACAAAAAACAGAACAGTATCAGCATACCAGTATCACAAACATAAACAAATCAAAGCAAGAACATTTAAAGTGATACACAGTTTCAAGACAAAATAATACGAATTAACAGTGATTGTTATATTACATATTCCTATCCTCAATACGTTGCTCAGATTACCAGACATAAGAATGGAAGATTGTTCAAACCATTAAAGAGAATAAGAAAATAACTATTAGATACATTAGAGATAATACAGTTTCACTAGACAAGATGGTAGGAATTCACCATTGCAATTTCATTGCAGGTTGTTACCTTCAAATCAGTTGCTCAGATTACCAGACTTAAGCATGCAAAATCGATCAGGACATAAAAAAATTGTAAGCATTAACTGTTCATTTCAATACACCATCAGACATCAGCAATACAGTAATCACAGCTATTCATATATATATTTATATTTTGCCTTCTTTTTCCTCCTTTCCTCATTCCAGTCTTTCCTTTATTTGAGCAATTTCTTTCCCTTTCCTCTCATCTATTGTACATTTTGAGTTTTACCTAGTCTTTCAGGTTCCTACACCAAAGAGACAATATGATGTTCACACATCTGGGTGCAATTTACTTCACTTATGACTATGGTCTCTAGTTGCATCCATTTACCTACAAAAGCCTCGAGTTTATCTTTTTTTATAGCTGATTAATACTCCATTGTATAAAAATACCACATTTTTTATCCATTCCTCAGAGGATGGGCATCTGGGTTGTTTCCAAGATTTAGCTATAACAAATTGTGCTACTATAAACATCGGTGCACATATATTGTATGGTATAATGTCTTTAATTCTTCTGGGAAAATACCCAGAAGAGGAATAGCTGGGTTAAATGGGACTTCCAATCCTAGTTTCATGAGGAATCTCCAAACTGATTTCCACAGTGGTTTCACCAATCGACACTCCCACCAGCAGTGAAGTAGGTTCCTTTCTCCCTACAGCTTCTCCAGCATTTGTTACTGGTTGATTTCTTGATGACAGCCATTCTTTCTGGGGTGAGATGGAATCTCAGTGTTGGTTTAATTTTCATTTCTCAAATGACTAACGACACTGAACATTTTTTCATGTATTTATTCACCATTAGTACCTCTTCATTTGTGAAGTGTGTATTTATATCAGATGCCCATTTTTGGATTGGGTCTTTAAATTTAGGGGGCCTGATTGTTTTTTAATTCTTTATATGTCCTAGATAGAAGTCCTTTGTCTGAGGGGCAGTTCACTAAAATTCTTTTCCCAATTCATGGGTTTTCTTTTTACTTTACTGGTGATGTCTTTAGATGTACAAAAACTTTTCAAGAAGATAAGATCCCAGGTGTTGATTCTTTGAAGTATTTCCCATTCAGTTTGATTTTTGCTCATGAACTCTCTCCCTGCCCCAATGTTCTCAAGACTTTTACCTACTTTCTCTTCCAATAAATTTAGTGTTTGTTTTAATATTTAGATCTTTGATCCATTTTGACTTTAATTTAAGTGCATGGTGAAAGACATGGGTCTAGTTTCAGTCTTCGGCATGTGCAAAGCCAGTTTTTCCAACACCATTTATTAAACAGGCTATCTTCCTTCCATTGAACATGTTTGGCCCCTTTGTCAAAGATAAGGTGACTGTGTTTCTAGTTTTATCTGTACCTTCTAATCTGTTCCATTCATCTTCAGGTCTGTTTTTGTGCCAGTATCATGCTAATTTTATCACAGTAGCTTTTAATATAATTTTAAGTCAGGAACTGTGATGCCTCCTGCCTTTCCTTGTTTTCCAAGATTGTTTTTGCTACTCCAGGCATCTTCTGGTTCCACATGAACTTTAGGAGTGTTTTCTCTAGATCTGTGAGGTATACTAATGGTATTTTAATTGGGATTGCATTGAATCTGTACAACAATT